TGAGGTGAAGAGATCCTCAGCGGTAAAGTTCGGCCAATGTGCTGACAGTTCGTCCTGGAAGACGTTAAACCACAGAATTCATTTCATGCAGCGGGCTGTTGCCGATATGGGCAGCTTTTGGCCAAAGGTCTGCACCTCCAGAGAACGTGTCTAGAAAATCCTCGGACAGGGGGAGTGCGGAGCTGCAGTTTGTATTTCAGGCAGTGTATTGGAGGTTGTCAAAGGGTTAATGAACCCGCAACTGCTTTGGCTCAAGACGGCCATGCGCCAGTCAACAAAAAGGGTTTTTGCGTTTGTGTTGTTGGTTGGTTGGTCCAGGGTGAAATTCAGCGCTTCGGTTGGGGTTGACTGTTTGGTTCCTTGTCCCCCTTCGGTTGCCCCCCGTACCCTAAACCCTAAACCCTAAACCTTAAACCCCAAACCCCTAAACCCTAAACCCTGAACCCTGGACGCAAATAGGCCCTTATCAGTGAGCCGTTACACCTGAGTCCTAAACTTTAAACACTTTCCACCAACACAAGTAGGGTTCAGCGTTTAGGATTCAGGGTTTAAGGTTTAGGGTTTGGGGTACCCTAAACCCTAAACCCTAAGCCCTAAACCCTAAACCCTAAAGCCTAGGTCGCAGAGTTGCTTGACCACTCGCTCAGCAAAGAGGTGTTGAGGATGCCACTCACATCCGCTTGGCACTGGTCCCAAGGTGGCCTTGATGCAGGTCGCTGCTTTGTGAGCATCGCAAGGCAGGTGCAGCAACAAGAAGTCCTGCGTGTAGCTTCGCACTGCAATCCGCTTTCACAGCGATAGTTAGCCGCGTAGCGGTCCGTGCAAGTCTGTCGAAGCTTGAAAGGGAACTCATTCGCCAGTCTCCGCCGTTCGGGGGCACGCGTACACACGTCGCTGGTTTTCAGCTGTTATCCGGTCCATGGCAGTTTCATGGTACTTTGTAAGCCATTACAAGTGTAGCTATATAAGCCCCTTAAGTACCCTTATAGGGTTATAAGTACAGTTATAATTGGGCGACTAAGTACCCTGAACCTCCAAGCGCGGTAAAAATGTCGAGACCGGGGTCAGCTAACCCGAAGCTCAAGCCGAAAAAGACCCAAGCTTGGAGATCTTATCAGTATGCGGGGAGGGAGGGGTTTTAGGGCTTAGGGTTCGGGTTTCGGGTTTAGAGTTTAGGGTTCAGGGTTTAGGGGTCCCTTATCCTGCCAGACAAGGAAGACATCTTAGTATCTCAGGGGTTTAGGGTTTAGGGTTTAGGGTTTAGGGTTTAGGGTTTAGGCCATCCCAGGGAGCTAAGCTAAGCCCTCCGCAGAGGCGTTCTGTGTCGGCAGCTCGGTGCGGACGCTTTGAGAATGCTGCAGCCGTGCCCTGATGGGTTTCAGGGTTTAGGGCTTTTGTTAGGGATCCCCAAACCCTAAACCCTAAACCCTCTGGAAACCCTAAACCCTAAACTCTTTTGGGTGTAGACCTTCAGGCTTTCTGCCTGGGGTTAACGCACGCCAAGGCTTGTCGATTTTGTAAGGCCCTAGGTTCTTTCTGCTTTCTTGTGTATGGTTTGGGGTGCTTCAGGGCTGGGGGTTAGGTGCAACTCACAACCTCCACTTTTAGGGTTTTGAGGGTTTGGCCAGGTTTGGCGTTCACTTGGCAAAGCTCCCGGAGCCCAACAACAAGATTGAAACCGACCGAGTTTGTTTATAAGACATGTTGTTTACCATGCAATTCGGAACACACATTGAGCCTCTGTAAAAGACAAGAGCGAAACTGTTTTCACGCATTTCAGCTGTTAAAGATGTTCGACTAAACTAAACCAAACGCGGTGCTGGTATTAAGGTTGAACAATAAGAGCAGGGGGCAGCTGGAATCCCTAAACCCTAAACCCTAAACCCTAAACCCTAAAAACCCTAAACCCTAAACCCTAAACCCTAAACCCTTAGGCAAGGCCTTTGCTGCGACAATATGTGACGGGTCACGCAAGAGCTGTCCTGGGGAATGCTATAGGGTTTAGGGTTTAGGGTTTAGGGTTTAGGGTTTAGGGTTTAGGAGAAACCAGTTTGGAAACGCGCATGGAAATAGGAGATCTACTAGACCCTTTCCTAAACCCTAAGCACTTCTGACTATATACCCTAAACCCTAAGCTCTGAACCCTAAACCCTGAATAGGCATCACTTGTCACCTCAACCCCTAAATCAGTGTAAACCCGTATCCTCTGAAACCTAAACCGCCCTAAACCCTAAAACCGAAACCCTAAACCCTAAACCTTAAACCTAAACCCCAAACCCCTTCACCCCAAAGTCCCGTGCGCTTGCAGCTTGCACCGGGGGCCCCGGCAGAGCCACAGCCTCCTCCTGCTCTGCAGCTGCGAGGGCCTGCTGCACTTGCTGCACTTCCTGGCGTTTTGGGGTCTTAGGGGTTTAGGGTTTAGGGTTTAGGGTTTGGGGTGCAGGGCTTCGGATTTAGGGTTTAGGGGTTGCACTTCGTCGCTTTTCGGGGTTTTTGAGTCTTAGGGCTTTTAGGGGTTTAGGGTTTACTGCTGCACTTCCTGGCTTTTAAGGGTTTTAGGGGGTTAGGGGGTGTTTAGGGCTTACCGCTACCAAACTCAGATTCTTGCTTTTCACTCGACCCAAGCGCGCTGCGGCATGTATGCTTAGGGAGTCTGCTGAGAAGTGACTTCAGTACAGTATGAATAACTCCACTCCTTCCAATCAAGGGTTTAGGGGTTGGGCGGTTGGGGGTTTAGGGTTTTAGGATTTCGGGGGTTTTGGGGGCTTTAGGGGCAAGAGAGGTTCAGGGCGGTTTAGGGGGTTGGGTGGGTTTAGGGGTTTCGGGGTTTAGGGGGTTTAGTTTAGGGTTTGGGGTTCAGGGTTTATTGAAAATATTCAGGGTTCAGATCCGGGGAAAGCTTCGGGGATTTTCGTTTTCGACTTTAGAGTTCTTTCGAGTTACACGGGCTTCCTTCTGCCCCGAGCCCTATCATACATAATCAAACCCTCATCGGGCTTCAGGGCATAGTGGTTTTGGGCGCAAGGGTAGGCGCCAGCCTGAGCCCTAAACCTTACACTAAAACTCCACTCTAAACCATAAGGCCCTACATCCCTAAAACCTGCATACGGCCAGTGTTTAGGGTTAGGGTATGCAAGGGGGCTTGCCGTACCCACTCGGCACCTAAGCCTGTATGACCTGCGAGACCCTAAACCCTAGACCCTAAACCTAAATCCCCAAACCCTAAACCTGGCAATAACAAGGGGTGCCCCTTGTGGTTTACAGGGGCTTCTAAGGGAACCTAATCCCTGAACAAAGTGAATAAGGGCCAACTCTGGGACCTTGTCTAACCCCTTCAGGGTTTAGGGTTTAGGGTTTAGGGTTTAGGGTTTCTAACCCCAGGAATGACATGAATGCTGCCGCTCCTCCTGTAGCTCGGCAAAGCGGAGGGCATTCATGTCCTCCGAAAGACTTGTGCTCTGAACCCTAAACCACCGAGTCCGCCAAAACCCTAAAGCACCCAAAGCAAGGTGCACACAAACCTTCCCTAAACCCTAAACCCTAAACCCTAAACCCTAAACCCTAAACCCTAAACCATGGACCGCTATTTCTTGGGCGCTCTTTCAGGCGAGGGAGTTCTCAGCAGGATCTCATAATCGCAAATGTTGCTGCTAAGCCCCCAAGAAAGTACGGAAACTGCCTTCAGGCAGGTCTCCCCCTTGAAGGTACCCATGGGCCCTGTTTGAGCTGTCTTATAAACACCCTAAACGCTGCCCAAAACCTAGTAGAAATCCCAGAAAACCTCAAGCCTGCACCGCAACTCCCCAGAACCCCAAGCTATTCGGGAGTCGCGCGTCTTCCGACTCAAAGACGACCTCATCCGTTTGCTCCAAGTAGGGCCGAGGACAGATGCATTGTGGAGGGGTCTAAACCAAAACCCCAAAACCCAAGACCCTAAACCCCAAACCTTAAGTTAATGGTCCTTGAAGGGATGCACCATGAAATAAGAGTCCTTGAACAGTTCAAGCGGGAGAGAACCAACCTCGCCTTATAGATACGTAGGGTGTTTTAACATCGTCCGACTTCGGAACCACCCCCCAAACCCCCCCGCCTAAAGCCCTAAAACCCTAAAGCCCTACAACCCTAAAACCCTAAAACCCTAAAACCCTAAACCCCAAAACCCCAAAACCCTAAAACCCTAAAAACCCTAAACCCTAAACCCGAACCCCCTCCCACCCCCGCAAGTGCTTCATTCTGCCGTTGAACAGCCACTGCGCGCTTCGCACCGCCGTCAGCTGCTTCTTTGTGGGCAATGAGCCCCGAAACTCCGACTTCACTGCCTCAAGGGCTTAGGGAGCCAGGGGCTTCCGGCGGCCTCAGGTACAGGACCTTAGTTGTTGAGGGTTTAGGGTTTAGGGTTTAGGGTTTAGGGTTTAGGGTTTAGGGTTCAGGGATGTATAGGGTTTAGGTCTTTTTTTGAGGCTACAGCTAGCGCAGGGGGTGGCCTCATGAGGCACGGCAGAGCCCCCGCAGAGGTCCTGGGCCGGCCCCATTGGGCCTTCGGCCCAGCGGGGCAACTTCATCTTCAGCTTCGGCCCTCCGACATCTCGGTGTTCTTCTCACGCCCAGACCCCTGGGAGGATCCCAAAAGTAGAGCCCCTAAATAGTCCCCTATACTAGTATTGGGTCATTTTGGGAACCCTTAAGGGGATCTACTTGTTGGATCCTCCCAGGGGTCTGGGTCAGGCTCTAAGGCCCCATCCCGGACCCCCCAAAACACACACCTGTACTCGGCCCACTGCTTCTCAAAAACTCTCAGAAAGCTTCTCCTCTCCAGACGTAGGGTTTAGGGTTTAGGGTTTAGGGTTAGGTGGGCTAAGAGTCTCAGGCTGCGCTTAGCAAGTCACGGGGTAAGACCTCGCAGGCCACGAGGGGGAGGCAGAGGAGCCCCAGGGGAACTGGCACGCCCCCGAGGCCCAGCAGACTGCCAGCAACAAGAAGCAGCTCAGCACTTCGGGGCCTCATCCTTCCTCGGCAGTTTAGGGTTTAGGGTTTAGGGTTTAGGGTTTAGGGAGCTTTGGGGCTTCGGATTGATGGGCCTTTTAGGGCTTAGGGCTCAGGGACCTCCCTTTTCAAGGAAGGCCTCAGGGCCGTAGACCTTTCAAGCATCCCTAAAACTGGCTATAGCAGGGGCTTTGCACAAATCAGCAAGTAGAGGAAACTAACAGGTAGAGGTGCTCAGAGAAGGAAGAGTTTGTAGGGGCTTAAAAACCGAGCAACACAGCTAGCTCATCCCTTGTCTCATAGCCCCCACAGCGGCTCGAAGACGTCGAAGCCCTAAACCCAGCATTGAGAACCCTTTGCCGGCTGACTGAGAAGCCTTTGAGGACTTCCAGAAGCAACCACATGGAACAACAAAGGCAGTATATAGGGGTCGGAATACCTACTCATAATCTTATCTTATGGTCCCTTTGTCATTATACTCTAAGAACCCTTGAAACCCCATTCTAATTATTCAGGCCCCGACAGTAGACTTTCGGGGGTAAAAGCTCCAAGCGTCCGGAAGCTGTCCACTGTCTTTCCTTGGTAGCCCAGGAACCACATTCTAATGAGGCCACCCCTTCTTCGGTGGTTCCTGAACCCTAAACCCTAAACCTAAACCCTAAACCCTAAACCCTAAACCCTAAACCCTAAACCCTAAACCCTAAACCCTAAACCCTAAACCCTAAACAAAAGAAGGGTAAAGGGTACCACTGGGCTACCAAGTTTCGCTGCCGCCAGGAGCAGCTGGAGCTTCTCACGTAGCTCAAGCACTGCAGGAGCCCAGGCCACGGACGTGTCTGGCACCTTTCGCGAGCTTCAGGGGGGTTGTTGTGGGTTTAGGGCTTAGGAATAGGGTTCAGGGTTTAGGGTTTAGGGTTTAGGGTTTAGGGTTTAGGGTTGAGGGTTTAGGGTTTAGGAATAAGGCGCAGGGTGTAGGGTGTAGGGTCTAGCGTTTAGGGTAGCTCTGTAGATTTTAGGGCCTCTTTTTGGGGTCTTTATGTTAAAGGGTGCCGTACACTATAAAAAGGAACCCTAAAATACCTTAACATAGAACCCTAAAACCTTCTTGCATGCAGTATAAGTTGGGATGTTCCCTTATGCTAACAGTCCTTACTAGGGACTAAAATAGGGGGGATTTTTATCCCTCTGAAGGACTGTTAGTAGAAGGGGGAACATCCCAAATAATCCTAGTAAGGACTTAGTATAAGGGGAACGTCCAAAAACATAAGGCTTAGGGCTTAGGGCTTAGCACCAACAGCTGAAACGGCCAGTCGTTTACGGGTACCTAGGCGCTTCAAGGGTGTTCTTCAGGACTTTCATCTGTACATGTAAGTTGGTCTATTTCCCAGACCCCTGGGAGGATCCAAAAAGTAGAACCCCTAAATAGTCCCCTATACTAGTATTGGGTCATGTTGGGAACCCTTAAGGGGATCTACTTTTTGGATCCTCCCAGGGGTCTGGGTTAGGGTTTAGGGTGCAATCTCCCCCCCCAAATAAATGACCCCAGAAACCAAGTAACCCCCAAGCCCTGAAAGCCCTCAACCCTGAACACCCTCAACCCTAAACATCTCCCCAAAATACCCCCTGACCCCTAAACCCTTCAAGTCAACCCGAAAGTAACCCTGACAAGCAACCCCAAACAACCCGGAATAACTTCAACGAACCCTGAGCAACAAAACAAACCAACTCCCGAAACTCTACAGCCCCAAGCCGTACCCCAAAACCCTTAAACCCCAAACTCCATAATCTCTAAACCCTATAAACCCTCTAAACCCTAAACCCTATAAACCCTCAAGCGTAAACCCTCAACCCTATAAACCCTCAACCCCAAACACCAAACCCTAAACCCTGAACCCTAAACCCCAAACCCTAAACCCTGAACCCTAAACCCTCAACCCTAAACCCTGATACCCCCAAAAGGAGCTGCGCAAGGCCATCGGGTTACGGATCCCGCCGAGGCCAGGATGGAGGCAGCAGCCGCGGTGTCTTGGCCGCTCCTGGGCCATGGGGTTTAGTGTTTGGGGTTGTTGGGGTTTGGGGTTTGGGGCTTGGGGGCTTGGGGTTTAGGGTTTAGGGTTTAGGGTTTAGGGTTTAGGGCTACTGAGGGCACTTTGAGGCTGTCTAGGGCTCTGGATATTTAGAGCTACTGCGGAATATGTAAGCTCCGCGGTTTTAAACGGTGTATTTGGGGCCTTTTGACTAGTTTAAGGGATACTTCGGGCTACTTAGGGTTTTATGGTTTAGGAATTATTGATGGTTTAGGTGTATTTGGGGCATATAGACTAGTTTAAGGGATACTTCGGGCTACTTAGCGGGAGGGCTTATGAGCGTAAGCTTTGAAAGCTTTGCGGCGTCTTCCGGGGCCTCGAGGTACTTCCATGATGGATAGCTATATATGTCGGGGGGTAGAGCAGGGTAACCAAAGTTATGACTGGCTAGAACATAAACCATCAGGCAAATACTAGGATGGCCCTTGAAAGCATCTGAAAAAAGATTCCCAAATATGATCCTCTTCAACCCAAGAAGTGACAATATGAACAACCCTACTTTTGGTTACCCCGGTTTTGGGGTTTAGGGTTTTGGGGTGTCGGGTTTAGGGTTTCGGGCTAGGGTTTGGGGTTTAGGGTTTATAACTTTGGGAACCTTCAAGCAGGCCAGGTGTCCTCAAGACTTCCGCCGCATGGGCCAGGGAGGCATTGACGTCGTTCACGGCCTTCCCGTCGAACCAGGAACCCTAAACCCTAGCAATCCCTAAACCCGCAACTACCGTTAGCCCTAAACCCTAAACTCTACACCCGAAACCCTACGCCCTAAACTCTAGCCCTAAACCCTAAACCCTAAACCCCTATGCCCTAAACGCAGAACCCATGGGTGCAGGACTCAGGATTCAGGGGCTCAGGGGACTTCCAAGCCCCAATGTCCGAGAACCCCAAAAACTTAAAACCCTCAAACCCCCCCCCCCCCCCCCCCCCCTGCATTTTAGGGTTTAAGGGTTTGGGGGTTGTGGGGTATAGGGTTCAGGGTTTTGGGGAGTACACCCTACAAACTCTATAAGCCCAATAAACCCTGTAAACCCTACCAACCCTACAAACACATATAAATTCTTTAATCCCATAGAAACCCCGTAGGCCCTCTAAACCCTGTAAACCCTATAAACCCATATGAAAATAGGGGACCACGAGTCGGATTCCCTTATAGCAAGGACCCCCCCCATCGGCCACATTGCCCACGTGGGCTTTGTCTTGCCAGGCGTTGAGATGTCAGCGTGTTGTGCAAGGTCGGCTGTTAGACCCCTGTGTGCAAACTTTAGGATTTAGGGTTTAGGGTTTAGAGGGTTTAGGGTTTAGGCCTGAACTGGCTGCATGGCTGAAGCCCATCATCATCATCATCATCATCATCATCATCGGCTTTGGGTGTGATTCTCATGATCGTTCTCCTTTGTGTCAGGCAACGTGGGGCATGGAGACACAAAATGATGATGCCACCCCTAAACCCGAAACCCTAAACCCTAAACCCTAAACCCCACACCCCATCATCATCCAGCCACTGCATAGGGCCGAACAATGAAGACTGAATGTCTTGTTTCGGCTCATGATCTGCGCCCTCCTTTGGCACATGCCGGCCCCATGCCTGGTGCCAATCATAGTCGGAGATGTCCACATGAAAAACGGACTCAACTGATTGCTAGAAGACACGAAACATGCAATCCAACAAGGTACCCCGAATATCGGAAACTCCAGTATAAACCCTGAGCTTGCTACCACAACCCTTCGTTCTGGGGCTTGGAATTGCCGTAGGCTCCCCGACTCACACCTCCTCTCCCTTGAGGTCACCCTCAGTCTTTGCTATAAATTTTCGGTTTAGGGTTTGGAGTTGAAGATGCAGGTACAGGGTTTAGGGGCCTTCTTATTCCTAGCCAGGAAGCCCTTGCCAGGGCCCTTTCTTAGGGGGAAAGCCAGGGGAGGGGTGAGCTTTAGGTGGGCGCCGCCTCTTCCCACAATCCATCAGACTGCCCGGGCAACCCCCCAAATCTAGTGTTTAGGCTTTCTAATCGAAACGCCTGAAGCCTAAAGGCCAAAAACCCACCCTCATGCCCTGAATGATCCGACCCCCTAAACCCTAAACCCTACTGAAAATCTCTTTTCTACGCTCAACTGGGAATCTTGAGAGTTAGATGCATCGGCATATATACACTGTACACTATACAACTGCATGACCTAGATTAGGCGGTACAATTTTGCACCCCTTCTAGTGCGCAGAAATGCCTTCTAAGCACTATACTTTCTCTTCTGCTATGTGCGGAGTGAAACTTCTCTGGTATTGGGCTCATTCTCACGCCTAGGTAGCGGAGTCTGGCCAGGGACCTTTACAAGAGGAGTTCCTTGTGCCCGCGGCTCTTTTCAGAGCTCAGTTGAACACCGAGTGTCTTCAGATGCTTCCTCAGCGTTGGTCCTCCTACGCTCTTCGTGAGGATATCTGAACAGTTCTTCTCCCCAAGCACTTTATGGATCCTCAAGTGGTCTGCTGCCACGCGTTCTTGCAACCACAAGTACCTTGTTTGTACGTGGCGAGCTTTTCCCAGGCCTATCCGGCTCCCTTGGCCTTTGGCTGCGTTGGAGTCCGTCTCCAAGACAACCTCCAGCTCGCAGCTCCAATCTTCTAACAGGGACTGGATCCCAAGTCCAGTCGAACCTGCCTTCACTAGGGCGTAGTATTCTGACTCCCCTGTCGATAGGGCAATCGTCGACTGCACGTTTGACGAGTGCTTTATGGGATGCTGGCCATAGAACGCGATCATACCCGTGGTGCTCCGTCTCGTAACGGCGTCACCTGCATGGTCCGCATCTACTTGGATACGGAGCTTGGTTGGTTCTCGCTGTTGTTCATAAACCAACTTCGCATACGGGTACTGCTTGAGATAACGAGCCAACCGCTTCAGGTTGCCCCAGTCAGCGTCTGTCGGCATTACCATCTTTCTTGACAGTGTCTTGACCGCATGGCCTATGTCTGCACGATCTTGTGCCAAGTATGCTGCGCGCATCACCAAGGACCTATACTGCTTCACCATCTCTGGTGGAAGTGCAGCTGCCTTAGCTTCCAGCAATTGTTGATCCACAGACTTCTTAACATCCGCTGTCTCTACGCCCTTACCATTGTTCAGACCCAGCTCCTCGATGAGGAGTTCTGCATGCCGCGAGTCTGCTTCAATCACGGCGCAGGGTCTCCCACTGTGTTGCTCCAACCGTATCACCCGATTGAGGAAAGTGATCTGGTTGCTTCCTGCAACTCCGATTCCTACCTCTCCTGTGCGCTTCAGCTCGTAGGCTTCTCGGAGTGTCTTGTCTAGTGCTTCCTGCGCTGCTTCGTCACCCAAGCGCAGAAAGTCGTCTCCGTGTACTAAGACACGGGCATCCAGCACTGGGTGATAGAAGACTGCACCATTGCTTCTTCCTCTCTTCCATCCTGCTTGAATCAGAGTTTGAGTGTAGTGGTCCTGCCATATCGCTGGCGCGTCTTGCGTTCCGTACATTGACTTCAATAGCAGTCCACACTCTCCTTCTCCTGCTCCCTCTTCCTCTGGGAGCTTCACATAAATGTTTCTCTTTGGAGTCCCATAGAAATGGGCTCTTGAGATGTCCCAGCTCCCAAGTCGTAACGGCCTCCCGTGCTTCGAGCGTTGTTTGCTCATAAGCATGGACGTAAGAATGCGCACCGCTTCTAGCGGGGGCATAGCCGAAAACAACATCGCTGGGTCTAGCTGGTCCTCGGGGCCCTTCCTGGCCTTGATGTCTTTCACGACCAGTCTGGACCTCAAGTTGGGGTTCGTGTGATCCCCTTTGTTCGTGTCTACCCACTTCAGTGGGATTGGTTGCTTGCCTGTTTCTTGAATGCACTGGTCCAGAGGTACCCTCTTCCACACACCTTGCTTGTGGATGTACTCCATCTCCAGCTGTCTAGCTTTGAGGACTCCTTCGGAGTCCAGGTACCCTCCATTCACGTCGTCCCAGTATTGGTACCAGTTGCCAGCAGGCATGCTGGGCTCCTCGGGTACTGGTCCTGCCGCATACGCATCTACGGCGCTTAGGCTTCCATCTTCAACCATTTGTTCTTTCAAGCCTTTAAGTACAGCATTTACCAGCTTTGGCGGGTAAACCGCAGCACCTCGGGCGATTCCACCTATAAGGCGGACATGCCTATGCCACAGTCCTCCCTGCTTGTTGCTGCACTCTCCCTGAAGGATTTCGGCCAACACTGGACTGTTTGTCATCCAGCCGGTTTCCTTTCTCACATATCCTTTGTTTCCTGCCACGTCGTTGGCCTTCATCTCCCATTTACACATGGGGCCTTTTACCACGTAAACTCTTTCATCCTCTGCGAGGGCTTTGACTTCCTCGTCGTACCATGAGTCCGCGCTCCACGGATGCTCGTGTAGGAAGTACCTTCCCTTTTCCATCTGCTTTCGGTACATCTTAATGCTCAAGTGCAGGTGTTGCTCTCCCTGCTCTCTTCTTTTCTTTCTCACCTCTGGTGACACCCGCTTCTGGTTGAGTGCTTGAAGCCTCGAGAAGGCTTCGCACGGCGGGCCTCCGGTCAACAGCCGGGGTTCTTCTGCATCAATCAGCTCCTCTAGTTCTTTCCTGTCTTCTTCTCTAGACAGGTCCCAATGCTCTTCACTGTTGGGCTTGGTCTCACACAAGTCTACCGCATATCCAGGCAAAAGGCCCAGTCGCGGCGCGTGTTCCGTAAACCGTTTTGGGCTGTAGATTTCCATCACATCCACGGCTCCCATGGCTGTGCACAAGGATGCGATATCCATCACCTCCTGTTCGGTGACGTCTACTTGCTCTGCCCTATACTTGTTCCGAACCATGCCTTGCACTAACAGTGCAGTTTCTCGTTTGAGAGAACTCAGCGCTTGCATGCTTTGCGGCGGCTGTTCTTCAGCCTGCTGCTGTACCACTGGCTGCGACACCAGTTCTTCTACATCTCCTGAGCTTGTTGCTCTAGGGTCTAAGCTTTCAGGCGGCTCCTCGGCCGTTCTTTTGATTCCACTTGCCGCGCTCGGTTCACTTTGCGCGGGCGGTGGTTCGTCAAGGTCGTAGTAGGCTCTTCGAGCCCTTTCATCTGCTGACATCGGCTTCGCCGTCTCTTTTTCTAACTCTGTTGGTCTACTCTCAGCTCCTCGCTTCTGCGGCGTCTGCTTTCCTACCGGCAGAGTCCCGGGTGACCCCGGGCTACTCGTGCCCCTCTTTTTCTTTCTCCCTCCTGCCTCAGGCACGCCTGAAGCCTCCGGTTCACCTACCGCATCAGCTACTCGGAGCTCTTCTTCCCTCTCTGGGGGCTCTGGCCTTCGTCTCTGGCGCAACTCGTGTGCCTCAATTCTGGCCTTTCCCCTCTCGTCTTGAGCTAGAAGCTCCATCATTCTGGCTCTGCAGGCCTCTGTGTGGTTGACCTGCGTCGACTCTCCCAGGAGTACGCATGTACACCCGGGGCAGCCTGGGGTTGGTCCCAGGCGCTCTACATCCGCTTTCAGAATGTACAGTCTCCTTTGGACTGGCGGCGCCAACACTGGTGCCGGGCCCTGCACTGGAAGCGGGCCTTCTCCGTTGAGCCTGTGGCTCCTACCAGCTCTGTGGGCTACATCCCAAGGATAGCCTCTGAGGCTTGTCCATCCCTGAGCGTCCCATCTCTGCTCAGGCGGTAAACGTCTCACTCCTTGCGCCCTCTTCACACCATTGGGTGTGATGACCAGCAACGCTCCGGTCCCGCCATGGTGTCCTATGTACCTGCCCTCCAACATCTTCATGTGGAGATCATTCTTGGGATTCCGCGGCGACCGCTTCACGGTAGAAAAGCCTTTCACCCAGCTCTAAGGCTGGCCGTCTCCAGGCCTTCCCTGACCGGCGCTGCTCGGGCGTCCTGCCGTCTTCTCCCTTCCTATACCTCGTGAGCAAGTCTGCTCCGTGTCTCGGCAGCCATGCAAGGACTGGGTCCTCGTCACTTAGCGTGATCCCGAGCTTCTCCTCCAGAGAGCTCTTCATGACCCGTACTTGCCTTTTCACTTCTCTCACAGCTACCTCTGCCAGGCCGTTGGCCTGGTGGTCTCCCTCGGGAGTCTCTTGGGATATTGCTTCAATCCCCTTCAGGCCATCTATGGCCTTCGCCTTCATAGCCTTTATGGCTGGTTCTCCATCACTTTTCGCAATGAACTTCTTGTAACCAAGGTGCTTGACAAAGCCCTGCCAAAACTTGATGGCGTAGGGGTCTGTTCCCTTGGCTTCCACAAAAGTCGCAGCTATTGCTTGCGTCTTCGAATCTTTGATGACCAGGATTGGTTTCACCTTGCCATCGTCTTGTCCCATAAAACAGTAGTCACACGCCACCGTTGGAAGTCCGTCGTTCTGACGCTCACGTTGCTCCCGGCTGCGGTGCTGCTGGCCAATGCCTCTCGCAGCCACGCAGTGGCGACACCACTCTCTGTATTGGACATGTCCAAGCACCTCGTGCTCAGCTATCTCTGCGGCGGTCGGTTCTATCGGAGACCGAACCTGCTTAGGAGCCGCCACCTCTACTTCGCCTTCTTCTTCCCCTTCCGGGCTTTGCGCCGGAGCTTCTGGTCCGGCCACCTCACCGGCGCACAAAGGGTGCCCGGCTTCTGGCGTCCCAGTGGGACTTACGCTTTCAGCTGCCCGCTGAAACCCGACGTTGCGGCCTTGGCCGCCTCGACTGCGTTTGCTTCCAAGTAGAAGTTGTAGACACCTCCCTCCTGGTAGAGGGGTATCGTACCCTTCTTTTCCTCGGCGCTCGCATGTTTTACCAGCTTTTCTATCTTTCGGCCTAACGGGCTTGCGCGGGGTATGAGGTGCCCTTCATCCTCTTGGATCACACCCACATAGCCTTGTTTCGCACACTTGTAGGCTGACACCAGCGGTTTGTGCACCGGGGCCAGGGACCCAGTGATCCCCTTCATCCGGCCATTCTCGTCTCTGCCGGAGATTTTGCATGCACCTTTGCTGGTGATCAGTTCCCCACTTGCGGTCTTGAAGGTCAGCTCTGGGCCTTCAGCAGGCGAACCCTTACTCTCCCAGTCCTGAGGGATTGCTGTCCGGGCCGCCCCTGTGTCGTAGTTAAACTTCATCCACCGCCCGCCTTGGGAGGCGGTTTCTACAGCGCAAAGTTCAACTGCACCCAGCTCATCTTCCTGAGCTGGTTCTTCTGCCTCTCCCTCTTCTAGGGATCCAGCGTGCTTTCCTTTGCCTTTGCCTTTGCCCTTGTCCTTGGGCTTGCCCTTGTTCTTTGAGTCCGTGTTTCCCAACTTGAGCTTTGACCAACAGTCGGCGGCTTTATGGCCAGGCTTGCCACAGTTGTGACAGTTGCCTTGGAACTTCTGTACAGAGCCATTCTTGGCTTGAGCCTTTCCGTTTGAGCCATCTTTGCCACCCTTACCTTTACCTTTACCTTTAGGGTCTTTACCTTTCCCCTTCCCCTTCATGAGGGAGCTTATGGCTTGGGTTAAGGCATCAACCTCCATTGGCGCTGGTCCTTGGGACGATGACGCTGGGATTTTCCCCGGTTGTTCTACCGTCCCTTTCGTCTTAACCTCAACCAACTGCTGTATCTCCCCCTTCATATCTTCGTAGGTGTTTAACCTAGCCTTGTTGAGGATAAGATGCTGCTCTAAGTCTGTAGGAACTAGCAACTCTAGGGCTGTACTCTTCAAGTCGTCACTCAACTTTTCTCTCACGCCTGCATCATTCTTTCGGGCTTCGTATCTTCTTATCAGGTCGTCTAGTTGGTCTATAGCTTGTCTAACATGCTCCCAACCCTTGACTCTCACTGGTGACAGAATGGCCCTCAAGAGGTTCCTCTTGCGGCCTGCCGACAGCGGGTCGAACCGCCGGTGCAGGCGTCTCCAGGCCTCAAAACCACCACCAGAGTTCACCACTATGCCCTCGGATTCTCCCGTGCACAGGTGCTGGAGTAGCCGCCATACTTGGTCACCCTTTTCCGGGATGTCTTCTACGGTGTCTGCGGCTGCTGTTACTGTGCCACCGGGGCTAGCGGGGGCTGGGCTGTTACCAAACTGCAGGTCTACATCTGTGTCTTTGACTTCGTCTTCTTGCTCTTGTGCCCACTCAAGTACCTCTTCAAACTTTCTTCCAAACACAGACGCCAACATATTGACGACCGACCGACTCCATCTACGGAACTCATCTTCCACATTGTTGAACCGCTCGGGTCTACCTAGGGCTTTGGTATCGAACAGAATTCTTGTGGAGTCAGGTCCCTTTTCCCTAACCCTCATCGTTTGGGCTAGCTCTGCTACAGACTGAGCTAGGGCTGCTACTCCTGCTTGCCCCTGTTCTGCCTGTTGTTGCTGTGCCCTTAGCGCCGTTATCTCTGCCTGCATTGCTGCGATTGTCTGCTGTAGCTGTTGCACCTGTGTTGCGTCCATCTTGTGTTTTCTACGTCAACGACAGAAAAGAACCCTATTTGGTCTAGGCTAAACTCAAACCCTGCCGCCTACCCTTCCCCTTTTTCTCTCTCGGGCAGCGGCGTTCAAAAATGCGTTTCTCTTCTCGAAGAAGGGCCGATCACTCGGCCTCTCCCTCGCACTCCTCGGAGCCTTCCTCCTCAGAGCTGCTCCTCAACTGTCCTGAGGGCCTTCTATACACAAAGTTGGGTTTGGCCTTAGCCTCGACCCTGGTTGTGAATGCTACGGCTGCTCTTCTCGCACGCAACTCCCGCTCGTCGCAGCTGCTGCAGGCTCCACCTGCCGTGCCGCTCGCGGCTCGGCCTGCAAGCGCCCTTTGCAAGGACAACCCAACAGATCCCGCGGTTACCTTGGTGATCCAGCCAAACGCCAACCTTCGAATCTGGTAGTTCGTTGTTGGGGTCAAGGGTGCTCCTCCCTTCCGGGTCTCAGGCTTACCGGCGTCTATTCCAGCCCAGTACTGCCTCAACGCCAGGTGCTGGAGTCGCGTGTCCAAGGACGCCTTGTGTGTCCACCCTTCTCGCACCCGCCGGTCCTCCTCTGCAGCGGTCCAAACACCCAAGCCTCGGCCTTTTCCCTTTTGCTTACCTTTCGACTTGGGCTCTGCTTTGGGCGCTGCCTCAAGCGCGGCGATGGTAGGTACTGCCGCCTCTGGTTGCACTGCAGGCTCAGGAACAATCACCAACCCACGGTTGCGGCGGCGATAGATAGCTGTACCTGCCGCTCTGGCCTTTGCCTTCGCGCGAGCCTCCGCCGCACCTGCTGCCAAGATAGCTGCTACCCTAGCCTCTCTTCTCACAGGCACCGATGGTGCGGATGGCACCGACTCTTCCCCTTCACGGGGAGCCGAGCTGCAGCTCGACCTAGACCGGCTTCTTGACCTCGCCTTCGGCTCGGCCCTGTCCCTTGGCACCACCGACAGCAAGGAGCTATCACTTGAAGGTTCCTCCTCAGGCGTAAGGACAATGCTTGGCGTCTTCGGCTGCTCCAACCCCTGATCCTTGAACGCTTCTTCCGGTGTTCCCGGAGAGGTCCCCTCTATAGTTCTACCCTCCGGGGGTGTTTGAGGGGGTTTCACGTAGTTCACGTCGAAGGCTTCAGGCGGTGTGCCTGGCACGCACTGCCGCTTCCACGGCGGCGGACCCTCAGGTTCAGCTGGTGTCTGGTCCAGCCTACGCGAACCTGGTAGCCCCTTGTCAGCAGCCCACACTTTGCGGCCCTTGCGCCGTTCCAGCGCCTCAGCGCTCCTGACGCCCTTCTTCCGGGGCTTTGTACTCCTGCCCTTTCCTCCTTTCCCAGTGACTTTCCTTGTGTGCCCCTTTTCGCTATGGCTCCACGCTACCATGAAAATCTCTTTTCTACGCTCAACTGGGAATCTTGAGAGTTAGATGCATCGGCATATATACACTGTACACTATACAACTGCATGACCTAGATTAGGCGGTACAATTTTGCACCTACACCCTAAACCCTAAACCCTAAACCCTAAAACTTGGTCTTGTATCCTTGAAAATCTCTACATAAAGCCTACCCCGTGTTGCTGCTATGGGGAGCTTCATTCGGGTGGGACGATTCTGCCACAACACTCCCAAACCCTTAGCCCAAAAACCCCAAGCCATGCACCCCAAACCCTAAACCCTAAACCCTAAACCCTAAACCCTAAACCTTAAACCTTAAGCTTCAAAGAAGGCTCAGCCAAGCAGGGGGCGATCTGGCCTTGTAGAGCGCCTTCATATTGTCGACAACGAGTGCCTTCCTGAGACACGCATAGGGTGTATAGGGGTGTAAGTGGGGTTGTATAGATATTCCCAGCCCTACACGCTAGAAGCTTTTTTTTTTTTTTTTTTTTATTTTTTTTTTATGGGGTTTAGTGCTAGGAGATGTTGACGGTTCATGGTTTTGGGGCTTCTGTGGGCCACGCGGGGACCGAGGGTATCGGACATTACCAGGAGGGCGTGCTTGGGGTTTAGGATTTAGGGTCGA